CGTGGCAGCAGCCCCTGTCTCACCCTGCTCTGCTTTGTGTCCCGCAGAAGCTGCGCATACCGAGCTCTCTCCTGGAGCCTGCCTCAAAGATGGATAAATGGGTGAGCTGACAGCCTTGCAACCAGGGTGAGGAAGGGACCAAGAGATACATTTGGGACATTTATTTCTAAGATTATCACAGGATAGGACCACTGTGTAAAAGAAACATCGAGTGTGAAACACTGAGACACCTTGACTGAAGACCAAGTGATCTTGAACAGGAACAACAGAAGAGTTAAGAGCCAGAAAAATGTTTGGTGGTTTTTTTTATATATATGCATCAGATCTCTTTACAGCAAAATCTGGGGGCTTGGACATACAGCCAGGCCACAGCAGCCTGCATTACAAGCTGATCCAGGTGTTGTTATCTCTTATCCGCTGTGAGCTGATGGAGCACACAAAGATGAGCAGCTGCCACAGCTCTCCTGACCCACTGTGACTTGTTAAGCCGCTAGAGCACAAGGTTGAGTTTGAGGGCTTGAGGCACATGCTTATCCAGCCTGCTGCCACGGCATCTCAGCCGCTAGATGTAGCAGGGAAGCGGGTGAGGAGTGCTCACGTGTTCTAGTTCACCAGCGGAGTGAGAGCAGGTTAATCTCCTGCAGCGGGACAGTAATATCTTAAACAGGCACCGCTTTTTGCCTTGAGGCCATGCGCCTAAGCCCTAAACCCTCACCTTTGACTTAGGAAAAACTTCCTTCGTCTCCCATCTCCACCCCAGGCACGTCCACACGTGATGCCAATCGTTTTCAAACTGAACCCAGTGCGGAAAGCTGCAACTCAGACCCCTATTTCCTGGAGAAATTTTTGAAGCACATGGTTGTTCTGATGTTGCTATGGTTTTTATTTTTTTTCCCCTCCAACTGAATCCCTGGCCGTAGCACACACTTGGGCATTTGCTCCATGGGTGTCTCGCTGTGAACCAGCCCAAGTTCCCAGATGAGCTGGCAGATGGTGGGGAGAACCCGCAGCACAGTCTGAGCAGTCTGCCTCTGCTCCAGCACCAACCTAGCAAGGGCAGGAGGCTGAGGAAGTGTCCCACCAAACCTCTCATCACCCCTGCTCCCCACAAGAGCTGTAGAGACCGTTAAGAGCCTGAGTGCTCCACCTCATCCAGCCATTTAATGAACTGGTCTCCCTGGGGCTCTCTCTGGGGTCACATCCCGAAATTTAGAACTGGCTGCACAGTCCGTCACGCACACCAGCTTTGCCCAGGCGCTGGTGTTTTCAGCTCACTCCTTTCCGATGTTGTTCTGTTGCAGAAGATCAGCAACGGGATTCCCCTCCCTCCTGCCCAGGTGCCTCCCAGCCGACTCCACGTGAAGCAGAAGCCAGGTAGTCCCCTGGGCCAGGGCCCTCAGCGGGTGTTACGTGAAGCTCTGCCCAAACCCCCCTGCTTTAGGGGTGCGTGGGGGGGCTGGTTGCCCGCTGCAGCCATGGTTGTCTGTGCTAGCAGGTTGCAGAAGAGCTGCCAGGGCCTCTACTGACTGCAGGCGCTGTTCCTCTGCTCTTATTTTGTTCTGCAGGATCTCCTGGGGGAGAAAGTGCCTCTGCAAATGATGCCGGTGCTGAAATGGACTTCCAGGTAAGGTGCTTCACAAGCCAAAGCTGGTACAGCCTCAAGAGATCAAGGCTGTGAAAAGTGCAAGACTCCTGGCCAGATCCTCCAAAATTCCTGAGCTGTCCAAAATCACTGGAAAAACTCTGCCCGTTTTCCCATTCCGAAGAGAGGTTCCCGTGTGGTCTTTCCTTTACCACTCCCGAGTTTGTAACCATACAATTTTGTGAGGCGACATGAGGTTGAGACTTACCAGGGCAGTGCCCTTTTGCCGTCCTCCAAGGAGCCAAGAGCCCAGTGTCCTCAGGCACGCACTTTACAGCCTGTTCTGCAAGAGAGAGCAGTCTTGGAAGTACCTGCTGTCCCCTCCCCCCTCCTCCTAGGTGGCATTATCTGTCCCTGTCAGTCTGGATACCACAGTTCATCCATACTTGTGGTGTTCTGGGGTGATGTCCTCTGAGGCACTTCCATGTCATTACCAGCCACGGTGTGATGGACCTGGAATCACTCCTGTGTCCACTTGGGGACAGCACCTCTCTGGCAGTGCCAGCCGCAGGTCAGCTCTGCTCCCTTTTGTCTTTGCCACCCCTATTTGTAGGGCTTTTGGAGCGTTGGCTTTTGGAGCGTTTTTTTTGTCAGCTGTACTTCAGAAAAGGCAGCAGAACAGGGGGACGGCTGGAGGAATCGGGCCCTGCTCATGTAGGTTTGTGGTTGGGAGGTAGCTGTGATTGGACCCAGTAACAGGCTTCCTGGGTCATGGGAGGAACGTTTGATTCCGGGCTTTGAATCTATAGTTCTTTCTCTGAACTTCAGATCTGCATTTTGGTGCTGCCCTACCATCAAGTGGTAGCACTGAGCCGATGGGTTGTGTCTGTGTCATCTCTCTTGGCGCGAGAGTCCTGAATAACCAGACTGTTCCTGGTGCCACATCTCTCAGCAGATCCCACTGCCCCACGGAGAAGCTTCCTCCAGCACGGACAGACCCGTGGTGCTGCGAGCGCGTTGCGAGTGCAGTGTGGTGGTGAGGGCCGGCAAGGTGCCGTCCCTGCCGGACCTGCGGGCTCTGCTGCGGGAGCGGTTTGGCCAACAGGCAGAGCAAGGGAGGCTGAGGTACGCTGCGGCACGGCCGGGCTCTCCGGTGCTCTGGGTGCACGGGTGTGTGAGGGGGCAGCAGCAGCCGTTCCCCTGAGGATACAGACCTGCATCTGGTCTCCTGGGAACGTTTAACTGGGGCCAAAGCATTCTAGCAGAGATTCAGCAAAGATGTGAGCACACAGCCTTTCTTGCAGGGCTAACCTTACTATGGCTTCTGGTTTGGAGGAGAGCGTGGGCTCTGTGGGCTTTGGAGGCCCAAAGGATCTTTCCCAGGAAACTGTACCATGGTCAAGGAAAGGGGGAACACAAGGGAAAACTCTGCAGATGGAGCTGCTACATGTTGGATTTTCTCCCACTCAGCATAGCCTTTGAGATACGCTGGGATCAATGCAGGGCAATTTGGGAGTGGGTCCTGGGGTGAGGTCTCCCTGACTGTGACAGCCCTGGGGACACACAGTCAGTGTAGTCAGGAGAGTTCAGCATCTTCCCCTCAAGTAAGTGCGTGAAGAGGTGCCAGAGTCACTCCCCAACAGTGCCGTTTCTGCCCACTGAGCATGCAGGGTGGCTCCATGTCTTTGTGCAAGGTGACAAGCTCAGAGCTGGCTTACAAAGGGGCCTTGGAAGACTGAAGGTGATAGAGGGCTCGGCTTGCTTCAAAGTTTGGCTTTAAGTGAGGTGATCTGAGCCGTGTTAATGAACCCTTGCAGCTACAGGCATTCGGATGGCAAAGAGCTGGGTGCAGTTTCAGGAGAGGAGGATCTAGGGAAGATGTGGCAGCAGCTGACAGATGGCAGGCTGACGCTCTGCTGCCAGGTACGTGGGCTGTGACAAGCGTCTCTGCTGTGCTGGACTCAAATCTCTGCTTTGCCTTGCAACCTCTGTGCTGACTTTCTCCTGCAGGACTCGGACTCCCACCCAGGCAGAGCCGTCCTTTACCGGATGCTGGCTCAGCACTCTTACCTTGCGCAGGGACCGGGGGACCTGGAGTTCAGCAAGGGAGACGTGCTGGATATTCTCTCTGAAGGTAGCTCTCCAGTCCTGTCTGCAGGCTTGTACTGGGGCAGGCTTTTGGATTCTGCTGCGGGGAGGGACTGGGGAATAGACAGCCTCTCCAGTGCAATCTCAGGCTTATACTCTCAGGACATACTGGGTTTTGCCCGGAGTTAAATTGCAGCCATGAAAACTCTTGCTGACCCCACTCCTATGGGCCAGGGCTCATCCTGCTCCTTTATGTTTTCCCAGTGAACGAGGACTGGCTCGAAGGACACTGCAATGGCAAGATTGGCATCTTCCCCAAATGCTTTGCAACCCAGACCGGTTGTGGTGCTGCCTTCCTATAGCAAACAGGAGCCTTTTCCTGCCCAACTGCACTGTCTCCCAGAGGTGAGAGCCACCAGGCCCAGCTCGTTCGGGCCACCAAGCACAG